AACGAAAGAAAGTCCCTTAACAGCTCAAATCAAACGTCAGTGTCCTGCATGTAAGGAACCTGTCTTGGGAAACTGATGCTGATCGAGAATCTGTCTAGAAATGAGTGTGTTGGCCATCGGTGACATTCAAAGCATAACCTTTTTCAGAATATTCACAATAGAAGTGAAACTTCGTTAGGTAAAGGAACTTCCCTTTGATTTAGTGAGAGTTGCCAACAGATCTCTGGCGCCGGCGTACTTGCTCTTCATTACTCTCGTCCATAGTGACTGGTTATTAGTAACAAGTTTCCAGCCACCTTTTGCTAACATGGTTGGTTTGCAGCCTTTGTTGGACGAATTCCGACATCTCCTTGATGCCTAGGCAGGGTTAAGTGCTCCCAAGCAATAGGATGGAATTTAGATTTTCCTTCTTCTTCCCCCCCAGACAAACTGCCTTTTAATTTTATCAAGGGAATTGTAGACTGCGAGGGATAGATGTCGAGTCTTCCACATCGCAAGTTTCTTTTGAATCTTTAGACAAAACTCCTTGTATCTAGCTTTCGAGACTCCTCCATTAATAGTGTTGATGCCTAGGTACTTCTCCAAGTCTGTCATAAGAGGCATGCCTGCTTTGGCACTGAGGTGTTGAGCCTTAGTACGAGAGACGTTGGCTGACACCATCATGGTAGACCCTCTGCTTCGCCAAAGAGGATGAGGTCATCTGTAAAGAAAAGATGAGAGAGCTAAGGTCCATTAGGAGATAGAGATAAGGGTTTCCAATTTATATCAGTCACTGCCTGCTCAATACAGTGGGCTAGTCTTTCCATACAAAGGACAAAGAGGTAAGGTGAGAGAGGATCTTCCTGTTGGACTCCCCTGGTGGGGTGATGGAGTCAGTGAGTTGCCCATTCCAATTGATCTTCATGCGATTGTTCTCTACACAATACATAATCATGCTAACCCATGTGCTAGGAAGACCAATATCTATCAAAGTATCTCTGATAAAGTCCCATCTAAGCCTGTCGTAGGCTTTCTCAAGATCGACTTTGATAATGATCCCGCCCTTCTTCCCTTTCTTGTTACGCAAGGAATGTAGAACCTCTTGGAGTATAATGATGCTATCTCCTGTTTGTCTTCCAGGTATAAAACCGCTATGTGTAGGAGCGATAAGCTTCCTCATCGGGAGTTTTAATCGTTTGGTAATAGCCTTGGTAATCGCCTTCGATCCCACATTATTGAGGCAAATTGGACGAAGTTGAGCAGGAGTCTCATGTTTGTCCATTTTGGGGATGAGCACTAGATTTGATTCCAAAGTTTCTACAGGAAGGGAACCTGTTCAAAGAAAGAAACAGCCAAATTAGTGAGATTTTTACAAACAAAACCCCACAGTTTATGATAAAAAATAGCCTAAAATCCATCTGGCCCTGGAGCCGAAAAGGGTAAAACAACTCTGGGGGTGTATATTACCAAAGTCACGCAGCTAATGACTCAATCAAAGAATTGATTGAGCTCGAATCAAGAACGAAGCGTTCTTAATACGAACTTGGATAAAACGGAACCAAAAGGACGATTCCACACCTGGGGAATGCTCGATTGGATTAAAGGGTAGTTGCTCGACCACGATTGAAGGGAATATTCAATGGATACACAAGCTCAGCAAGTTTGGAATCCACCAAACCCAAAACAAGTTCGCAAACTTGAACAAACCAACGGTTTCTTTTCGATTAATCAAAGTCTTTTGTTTTTACAACGTAAATAGAAGGCTATTTATATCCAAGAGAAATCTAATGTAACTAGGTACAATTTAGTTAAAAGACTACTCTAAAAAGGTTACAAAATTCGGACTCAAACTCCTTTTCTTAAAGAACAAGCAAGCTGCCAGCAAACAGTCGAATAACAGCTTTCGTACTAACTTCACGCCTTTCGTTCGAGGCCTTCCAGAACTCCAATCATTCATCCAATTCCTTCCATTTGTAAAAAAAAACATACCTAGTTTCATGTTGTGGAAGCCGTTGGACTAGAATCCCTTTCATGCTCCTCGAATTGAGCTCCAAAGTAGGCTTCACAAAACAGTTTTCTGACTTAGCCATTTTCTGTCAGTTTTCCAGTTTTGACATAGGCTTTTGGTGAGCTTGGAAAATAAACTTCCTGACTTCTCCTAGAGCAACCAAGAATACCAATGTGTAGATAAACACTCCATCTTCAATACAAGCCCTTAACATTGAATTTTCATCAATCCAATTGTGAGAACCATGCCTCCAAAGTAGGCATATCAAAACTGTTCCAACACTTAACCAAATCTTGTCTTTCTTCTTCCAAACTTCGATAGCTTCTTTGTCAAGTAATTGTGACGTGAATGGTTGGCAATTTTGGATCATATCAAAGGGTTATTCCGAATACTGCTTTGTGGATATCAGAAATACTGAAGGGGCGAAGAAGGAGGAGAAGCTCTTCTTGACTCAGCCCGGGGAATTTATTCTTTGGCATTTTGTCACAGTACTCGACAGCATCTTGAGAATAAAGAGAACTGAAAAAGCCATAATAAGATCAATGAGCTCACCATGATCAACCCAACTCCCACTATCATTGCGCAAAGCAAGGATTTTATTGCGCCTACGACAACGAGTTGCTTGTTGATGAAAGTAAGAAGTGTTTTGCTCTCCCAGCTAGACCAGATAATTTCTTTCTGTGCCAAGAGAGCATCAAGTTCAGCCTCCAGTTTTGCTTGTAATTTGACCAGGCCCAGGTTGAAGTTCAACGCCATTCTGATTTGCACCCCTTGAAGTCTAGCTAAAAGCTTCTTCTTTTGAAGCCGAAGGATGCCAAAGGTGTCCCTATTCCAGCTTTGCAGTTTTGTAGCGATTTCACTAAGATCTTGTTGAAGATCAAAATCCGGCTTCCAGGCACCTGCAAAAAAGTCAGCAAATTTTTCGTGGAGAAGCCACGCATCCTCAAACCGAAATGGTCTATTGCCACCCTTATGGGAACTCTGCATAGAAACAGAGGTGAGAATTGGAAGGTGATCATAATGAAGTTTTGGAAAGTGTTGCACCGTAGTATTGGGGAATGTCACATTCCAGTTCACGTTGCATAGCGATCGATCGATTCTACTGGCTCTATAGATCTCCTTGTGTCTCCTCTTAGCCAAGTAAATCGTGACCCTGAAAAACCTAAATCAAACAGACTTGTTGCATCAATCCAGTTGGCAAATTGTTGGCAGCGCCTAAGAGAAGCAAAAGAGATAGCACCTGATTTCTCTGAAGGAAGACGGTAGGGGTTAAAATCCCCCGTTACCAGCCAGGGAATGCCAGTTTTTTGACTAGTACGAATTAGCTGCTCCCACAGCAAGTGATGGAATTTATATTGGGGACTTCCATAAACACTTGTGAGTAACCAATCAGGGGCATCATGCAGAATTTGATGATGCGGAAGAACGACAGAACACAGAACACACGATTTTACGTGGTATCCTCGATCGATTGATTGATCGAGACTAATCCACGGTGAACTCGGAACGAGCTCACGACTGATATTTTATTAGGGACTACATTGTAACGGCTTGCTTACGACAATCTCGTAGCTAAGCTTATATAGACGTAGACGTAGGGTTAAAACCCTAATGACAACCAAGTTTCCTTCTTTTACTTGAACAAGGAAAACTAGGGACTTGTAGGACAAGGAATTAATTATTTTTGACTAAATAATTAATATCCTCAACACTCCCCCTCAAGTGAAGATATGGATGACAAGAATGTCGAGCTTGAAAAAGGAAATATGACGAACAAGCATGACAAGCTTGAACAACAAAACTCGAGATGAATAATCTCACGGACAAGGTTGATTTGGAGACGACTGACTCTCTCCCTTGAACGACCAGATGAAGATGGTTGACTGCATCTTCTTGAACGTCGTGACGAGACGGTTGATTGCGTCTGTTCGAACGACCTGACGGAGGCGGTTGACTGCGTCTCTTGAATGACTTGACGAAGACAATTGACTACGTCTATCCATATGATATGGTGGAGATGGTTGACTGCATCTCCTGAACGACTTGACTGCCTATTCTCCCTCTCAAGTTGACGCATGAATGATGTGAATGCCCAGCTTGAAAGTTAGAATGGCGAAGACTCAACATTGATCGATGCTAAATGCTGAGGGGACGATCGCTATTGGGATCGTGACTGCCTCGCTTTATGACTTGACAATTTTGTTGACGAAAGCTGTAACTCCCCAACACTTGCTATTGAAGAGATGACCACTGCCGATCATGATTTCCTCAATGCCATGACTGCGATGTTGGTGAAGAAAAGCCTTCTGAAACTGAATTGACTTTGCAGCAAGGAGTGACCTTGATGAAAATGACCCGACCACAATGACGACGAAACTTGTCAAAAAAAAACACAACTACTATGACTTGACCTCTGTGCTGGAGACGCATAGTACAAAGGGAACATGAATGGAATGAGCTTGTGGAATTTGAACAGGAGCCACCATGCAGGCTACGTAGCCGTTGCTTTGGGGATAAAACCCTTCACAAGACAGAAAACCAACAACCACAATTGCGGAATCTTGAGCTTGAGACCAACAGTAGGACACAAAGTGATCCAAGAACTTCGTAAGACTGAGCTTGAGGTTGACTATAATATATGAAAACAGGATGAACCGGTCCTGGGCGGTGATTGGAGGCAGAACGAAGAGCTAGAACGGATACGGATCACCGAAGCGACAAACGGCAAGACTGAGTGATGTTGGGCGACTTCGGGACTGCAATAAAACAACACAACCAATCTCCACCACGAACTGATTTTCAACCATGACCATGTAATTACTTTGACCGACAAACTCCTACCAACCGTGATCCCAAGCTGAATTGACCAAAGGATACCACAAAATGACAAAACAGACCCAGACATGGAATTCCGGGGGGTGCACAGAACTTAGCTATAGAAGTTTCCCCATCATGGAGTTCACGTGAGAGTCTGGCTATTATGTGGAGGAGACCTCCACCAAAGAACATGGACAATTTAACCAAACCTTTGTTTTTGCGATAGTGGATGCTGCGGCAAGAGATGAAAGCCGCCACTCAGACGGGTGAAAGCCGTGAGGTGAAGTCGTCAAACTTTAGGAGTTCTCCGTGACGTTGATGAAGAGATCCCCACTGACCCGAGCAATAATGGACTTTGACTGGCGATCTGGAGACGGACAAGTCCGCGTGATTGACGACAAGGTCATCGTTGCTGAACATGACGCGAAGGCGCCTCGATGCAAGGCGATGCCGCAACGAAAGCTTCGACCAACGATGATGACAACCAGCCGTGGCAAGGACGACGATTGATAACAAGAGCACAATCGATGATGATGACGACGGCGGACTAGAGATCTCATTCTTAACTGCGGGAAGGACTTCGCCGACTATGATACCGGATCCGGAGTAGAAGGCCAGAGTGGACATTGGCTCTTCTTTCAACGGCAACCGTGACTATCGAGAGAACGCCTGGATGATGTTGGAGGGACGCCAACATTGAATTGACTACCGGCGGTGGCTACTGTGAAGGTAGCTTGGACTTCGCCTTGACTGCGGAAGCTCAAAACCCTAATCAAGGATCGAGTTTCGCTCTGATACCATGCAGAATTTGATGATGCGGAAGAACGACAGAACACAGAACACACGATTTTACGTGGTATCCTCGATCGATTGATTGATCGAGACTAATCACGACTGATATTTTATTAGGGACTACATTGTAACGGCTTGCTTACGACAATCTCGTAGCTAAGCTTATATAGACGTAGACGTAGGGTTAAAGCCCTAATGACAACCAAGTTTCCTTCTTTTACTTGAACAAGGAAAACTAGGGACTTGTAGGACAAGGAATTAATTATTTTTGACTAAATAATTAATATCATCAACACATCAGGACTGGAAATTTTGACAGTTATGTGTTGTTTGCTAGCTCCAACAGCTGGACGTGGAATTCGTCTGGTTTCCAAGCAAACCAAATCCCACCCTTGCGTCCCTCAGCATAAACACATAGGACCTCTGCATACCCCAAATGACCACAAAACATTCATCTCCTTATCGCCACTTATCTTAGGTTCCAAAATGAGAAGAAATTGGGGGTTGTATGTTTCCACAAGCAACTTGATAGAGCGCCTAAAATCCTTACTACCTATACCACAAACATTCCAAGCTAAAATTTTGAAGTTAGGAGAATAAGACATTGAAATAATAGGAAGATAGAGAAAATGGGAGGAGCAAATCGGTCCAAAGCATGGTTGTCACGCCGGCCGGCATGCCACTGGTTGTACCAGGTTCAACTGATACTGGTCATAAAACCGGCGCGACATTACCGGTATGACCGGCATGATCGATATACGAATATCTAAAAAAATAACCTTATTTTAGCGAATTTAATTGATAAAAATTATTTTATTATTTATTTTATGAGTATAAAAGTTAAATATTGATGTTATTTGTTGGATTCAAGTATAAATGTTAAGGTATTGACGTTAAATGTCATGTTTAAATATGAGTATTTATAATTTTATTTGTAATATTGACCGGCATGAACCGGCACAAACCGGTATGTGCCACCGTTCGAACCATTCCACTTGCTAAACCGGCACACTGGCATAAACCGGTTTGACAACTTTGGTCCAAAGATTCTCGGATAATGGAACTGCGACGACCGTCGAGTTTGGTTGACCCACAGTAGTCTCTGCCATATCCACATCTCTAGGTTTATCCACTTTGCTTTTCTGGTACTCATCTTCCTTTTGCTGGGATTGAGTAAAAAACTCCTCGATGGATTTGATAGTGATTGGGAAGTTAGGATCTTTCACTTTGGTGGCCAAGTATCGTTTGTGCGAGACAACTTGGAGGGGTTTCTTTACTGCCTTCAAGTTAATGTCTTTGGATGGAGTTTGTTCCATCGATTTCTTCTTGTAATGATGGCGAATGGAGGAAGTTTTCAAGGTTGGGTCTCTGTTCTCCTTATCTTTTTTTTTTGGGTTAATACCTTATTTCAGCCCCAACTATGATCATATAATCAACTTTGGCATGTGATTTGAGAAATTAACATCCAGGCCCGAACTTTGCACCATAAATACTCATTTGGCCCGGATCGTGGTTTGACCATTTGTTTGGACGGTCAACACTGTTGACCGTTAGTCAACTGTCCAGGTTATCGCCATGTCAGCAACCAAAGAAATAAAAAATTCGAAAATGAATTTTTTTTCTTATTAACGGGAAATTCTCCGAATGGAAAACCCCAAACTCAGAATCACCAGAACCAATTCTTGATTCCCTGTATGAAACACGAAAGCTTCACGAAAATCGTCGGCTTGCTTCTCCTCTTCACCATTCTCTTCCTCCCATTACTGCCATGGCTCCACGATCTCCTCGTCGGCGGAGGTCGCGCCAGCCTCCTGCAATTTGATTCTGCCGCCATAGCCTGAGCCCTAGCTTTCGGAATCACAATCCATCCTCCAACACTACCGCTCGAATCCCCCCCTGGTCGCCGCCTCCTCCTCTTCGACCATATCCTCCCTCGCTCCTTTCTTCCCCGCTGCCACCGCCAATCCTCCTCGTCTTCCATAATCGCACCCCCCTCTTCCTCCTCCTCCCAAACCTCCGCATTCGCCGACCGCCTGCCGCTCTTCCGTCCATCCGCCTTATTAAAATTAATCGAATTACAGTACACCTTGTTCAACTTCGCCACAGCGATGTTCCGGCTAGCCTCCGCCGCGAGCTTCTGCTCCACCGAAACGGAGACTCTCCACCGGCACATCGCTGTCTCCTCCTGCGCCCTTCTTATCAGCTCCGCGTATTCCTCCACCGTCAATTCAACGGTCCCGTACTCTGCCTCCGTCGACATCGCGATAACCGCCGCCGCGTCCTCCGTCGAAGTCGCGAACGCCTCGGCCTCGATCCGCACCGCGCGGAGCTTCAATTGAAGCAAGCGGAGGCTCTGCCGCCGCACACGGAGGACCTGCTTCATCTTTATCCGCTCCCTCCGCTGCTCATCGACCTCCATCTTGATATCCTCCAGATCCTTGCAGCTCTGGTAGACGGCTAGCGTCAATTCATTCATTGCCTTCATCGCCTTCACTTCGCCCTCCACCTTCGATCTCACCCACCATTGAGACGCCACCAGCTTTGATTTCAATTCCGAGATCGCTGCCTTCGCTGCCGATCCCCTGTTCTTGGAGGCGTCCAATTCAGACTGCACCTTCTTGAGATCGTCGATCTTCGACAGCGGCAACGACGTCTTCAAACGCCCGGCCGCCGCTGCATTTTACTTGGGGAGAATGCCACTCGTCGGGAAGTATTGAGAAGAAGAATGGGTGGATAGGGTTAGGGATTTTTTGGTTTTGCAGGAAGAAGGAAAGAGGCGAGAGGATAAGGGGGCGATGGGTGGTTGACAGATTTTGTTTGTTTTTTCGTTTTATTTAATTAGGTAAAGGAAATAAGAAAGAAAATTCAATTCCGAATTTTTTATTTCTTTGGTTGCTGACATGGCGATGACCTGGACAGTTGACTAACGGTCAACGGTGTTGACCGTCCAAACAAACGGTCAAACCACGATCCGGGCCAAATGAGTATTTATGCCGCAAAGTTCGGGCCAGGATGTTAATTTCTCAAACCACATGCCAAAGTTGATTATATGGTCATGGTTGGGGCCAAAATAAGGTATTAACCCTTTTTTTCCCAAAGGTCTCTGTTCTCCTTATCATTAATAACTAAAGGTGGAACTGGAACCACATGAATCTTCGTGTTATTTGGGCCCAAGATTAGTTGTGATGCTTGGCTCTTCAAGTCTGATAGCGGAGTTGGATCCTTGGTTCCTGAAGTTGACGGTTGGGTCGAGATGGCCGCATTATGATCTTTGGACTGGACCTGATATTTTTGGGATTCTCGTGCACCCACAACCCGCCACTCAGTCACGTGTTTATCAATCTTATTTTTACCATTAGCCGCTTGACCTTCCATATGATAAGAGGAGCCTTACCCTTTTGCCTATTGATATTTCCTTTCTTGGTGTCATCTCTATCTTCGCTCTTTCCTTTTGTTTCAACACCAGCCGTTGGTTTGCTCTTGTCCCCCTTTCCTATTTTGCTCAGATTTGATTGTGGCCTTCCTGATTCCATGCCTTTTGCAGAAACTAATCCCTGATTTTCCCTCTGATTAGCAGCTCCTTTCTTGCTTGATTGTCGTGATTTCCGGACGACCTGCATCCATAGGCCATACCCCTCTGGTGGTTTCAACGATGTCTCGATCTTCCGGTGCCGGTTGAGTGGTGGTGATTCCCGGGATGTCGACGATAGATAACTGTTGAGAATTTCTGGTTGCCAGGCAATTTTCTTCAAGATGACCAATTCTTCCACACCCAAAGCATATTTGAAGGATGTTCTTGTAGACCACTTACTGCCAAAAGCCGTCTAATCTGATTCGAGTCGGGAGGGGCTTCGTCATTTCAAGTTCAATCGCCAATCTGGCAAACTTGCCTCGCTCTAGATTCTCAGTATCATAGTCTAATTTAACTGTTCTGCCAATTAAGTTACCTAGAGCAAAGAGGACTTCTCAGTGATGAAAATGGACCGGCAATTCTAGTAATTGAACCCAAGCCAACACTTGAATGATGAGGTTTGTCACTGGTACGAAAGGCTGGCGAGCACTGATTGTCACTGGTACGAAAGGCTGGCGAGCACTGATGGACGACTAGGTATTGATTAGAGGTGGCAAATGGATTGGATTGATGGATTGGTGGATTCATGGATCAAATGAATTGGTGGATTCATGGATTGGATCAAATGGATTGGTGGATTATCCATGAATCCAAGTGACATCCTCAACCAAGGACCAATATGTAAAATGTAAAAAGTTTAGGTACTAAAATGTCACAATGAAAAATTTTAGGTACCAAAACGTAATTTTCTAATGATTGGTGGATTGGATTGAAATTGCCACCTCTAGTAATGATCCAAGATTATCCAGGGTCCTCCGGTCAGCGCCGGGAGATAATCTTGATCGTTGCCAAAAGTTATCAGGAAGGTATCATCATTCAAATCCATGATATCCATTGAGCCTACTGGACGACATTTCCATCAAAGCTGAGCACACAAGTAAGCATACGAGACTGTTCAACCGAGAAGCCTTACCACCAGCATTTTCTTCCAGGGTTCACAGAGGCATTCTTTAAAATCTGTCGAAATTTGCAACTTTGGTTCCCCTCCAAAATTCCCAGACATGATTATCTCCTCGCACCCTCTACCTCGCCCCTCTACCTCGTCCCTCTACCTCGCCGCCGTCGCGCTCCATCGATGTCGATTCCGCAACGAGTCTGCGGCTCCGTAGCGACGCTGATGCCGCCAACGTCTCTCAACTGGCTTGATTTTATGTTGTTAATCTAATGGTTGATTATGTCGCAACGACGCCGACGCCGATGCCGCCAGAATTATATGTAGTAGTAATATTCAGATCTGGAGGAATTTTACAGATTTGTGGTGATTATTCTTTACGGGTTTGATTTTATGTTTCTAATAGGGTTTAGTTTTTGATTAGTAGTAGTTTGTATGCAGTAGTGATTTATTTGTAGGGATTATGATTAAATGTGTAGTGATTTTGATCAAGGTTTTCATAGTCATGGTAGCATATTTTTCCATTCGTAGTATTTTTATATTTTGTGGTAGTGATTCTCATTTAAAATTATCAACCGCTACAAATTAAAAATTGTTAAAACACTACTATAAGTCACCAAAATCGCTACTACGATAAATGGTTGTGGTTGTATAATTTTGTAGTAGTAATTTTTCCTTGTAAAAATTCTTCATTAAAGAGACGGAATAAATATTTTAAAATATAATTTATTTATTAAATTTAATTTGTCAAATAACCAAATATACCCCTCATTATTTTTCACCATCAGATTTAATTAAATATAATAAATGATTATTAGTTAGGTTAGTACGGTGCTAACCCCTTATGGAGTTAGCACTGTAACCCGTCCCATTTCAGATAGGTCATGGCCATCCTACCACGTGTTTCAGACCATACTTTTAGCGTTGATTTTATAAATTATAACGTCGCTAACTGTTAGAATTCAACTACCACTATTTTTGTTTGTTTATCATTTTATACAATGCTATTATATTTAATAATTATATATACGTTGAATATTTATTATAAAAATATATATGGATGATTATAAGTAATCATAGATATTATAAAAATTAATGGGTAATTACTTTTAATTATGTAACAATGGCAAACGAAATTTCGTTCTAGCTTGCATCATTCGCGTCAGATTACAACCTAGGGCTTCCATCGTGGCTCCCGGAATGCCCTCTACTTTCTCGATCGCCACTGGCTTATCTTGCATATCAGTAGGGTCAGTGTCCTTTCCTTCCATGATATGCTCAAACTCAAACAAAATGTTATTTGTCAATGCTAAAGTCTCAAATTAATGGTACGAAAAAGGGCCTCACAAATCTCACTCAGGTTTTTCACTAGTTTGCAGGTCACACCTTTTCTTACCACTCGTGTTTCGCTCAAATCAAATGGCTTTTGTCCTATAATTCATTCCACACGCTCTCTGAACCCTAGACAAGAACTTCTCAAGCAAGAAATGACTTTTACTAGCAGCCCTAACGAATAAGATTTTCACAATGCTAACGAGACCGATCAAGAGCGACAATACCTTCCTGCGTGTTTGGTTTAGTTCTCGCCTTTTTTTGTTTTTTTTCTAGAACGGCTTTTCCAACAAATGCACATTATAATTAAGAACGAAACTGAAAACAAGAACTAAAAATTAACATCTCTTGGCGGCGGTTAAGAACACATAACTTGATTCGTATGATTCTTGATTAAGAAAGGAGGATACGTATGTCACTAGGTTTGAGCCAGAGCTCTGATCCTTAGGGTTAGCAATCGTTTGAGAGGGTAGGGCTTCCATTGGTCTCTCGGTGAGGATACCGACGTGGTTGCCGATTTGGGTCTCTAAGTTTTTGAGACTCGCTTGGTGACTTCTTAGTCCAACCTCAACTGAAGAGAACTTGGTAGTTGCTACATCCATGAATTTCTCAATCTTCTCAAAGTTTTGATAGTTTGTAATCATAAAGGTTGTGACTAGGTCTTCCATCTTTGCAAACTTTTTGGGTTATTGTTGTTGGAACCCTTGTCCACCTTGCACTTGGAATGTTTGTTGGAAGCTCGAGCCTTGAAATTGTGGCCTTTGTTGAATGATAGGAGGCCTTGGTTGATAATTCCCCGTCGATCCTTGGCAATCGAGGGTCTTGGATTTTTTGGGGAAGGCCAAGCAAAGTTTGGATGGTTTCGCCACCCCGGGTTGTAAGTGTTGCTATAGGGATTGTTCCCTCTAGCATTGGCGATGAAGCTCACTTGTTCCTCAGGGGTGCTTGATTACTTCATCAGTTGACACTCCAAAATCTCATGGTTGGTACTTGAGTACCTATCACATGCCATCGATGGCTTCTTACCATACTTCTTGTCCTCAAGGAGTGCATCGATCAACCGGTCAATCTTAGCGGCAAGCGGCGGACATGCTTCCTCCGAACTAACTCCCCTCTCGGTATCTCTTCTACAATTTCTTGTCATCCCCCAATCATACCCTATTTCACCATATCTTCAAGCAATTGAGTCACTTGGGGTGGGGTCATGCTCATCAATTTCCCTTGACATAGATAGTCAATGAGAATCTTGTCATCTTGGAGGAGACCGCCATAGAAGGTCTCAATCCGGAATTTCTCTTCAAAACCGTGATGAGGGCATTGGAGGAAGTAATCCGAGAACCTCTCCCATGCTTCCCTCAATGTCTCATCCTCCTCTTGAGCGAAATGGGTGATCTATTTCTGCCACTCCACCATCTTGGAACGTGGACAATATCTGGTCATGAACTTGTTGAGCAAATGGTCGCATGAGGTGATCGAGAGTGGTGGTCTATTGTTCAGCCACTGGAGTGCATTCCCCGTAAGAGAGTAGGGGAATAGCCTCAAAATCAAAGCCTCTTAGGGTACCCCATTGAACTTCAAACTTCCTGCAAGCTCGATTAACCGTTGAATATGCTCCCTTGGAGAATCATTTTGAAGCCCATGGAATTGTGCATTGTTTTGGATCATTGTGACGAGGCCGGGCTTTATGTTAAAATTGTTGGCGGCCACGTGTGGATGCAAAATGGTAGGTTGAATACCCGCCGCCCATGGAGCCATGTAGTAGCCCATGGTCCTCGGTTGCTCCTCAGCTCCTGCTTGAGCATTTTGATTAGCCGCCATATCGACTTCACTTCCTTCCTCTTCGGAATCAAACTCTACCTCAACTAAAACTTCCACTTCGAGACCAACTTGTGGTTGTCCCCTCTCCTCTATCCATCTTCTTGCTTCCGCTAGCTCCCTCTCACAAGCCAAGAGTCGGAGAGTGCGGTTGAGATTCTCGTCGAGTGGCGCCAAAGGTGTCGGATTACTCCGGGTCGTACACCCTCCTGCACACAATTCAAAGAAACACAACTCGTCTAACACAAGCAAGATTCACATACAAAAAACACAAAGTAAAAGCTAGATTAACATCAAACAATCTTTTCAAAATAATGGACCTATTGATCCCCGGCAACGGCGCCAAAAACTTGACTCATCCCGAATACCACAAAAAAATCCCAATTAAGGCCCAAGTATAAACCTTAACCGGGTGCAATATAGGGAAGGTATGTTTTAAAAGTCAAGCCTGGGACGATCTATGTAACCCTACTTCGATTGTTTGAAACATTATCTAGCAAGCAATTTTGGTTGAAACTATGATCAAAACTAAAGTGATTGTAAAGGTAAGTTGGTGTGAACACTAATTGAGAAGCGCATGGTAAAGGTGGCTGCTAACCGTCGGGAAGCACAACAAGTGAATTGGGTTCACTCCCTTGATCAATTGGCTAAGGGACTAAAAGCCAAGCTACCTACGTGACTCTCTTAACCAAATGGCCAATGGACAACAAGTGAAGCTACCTAGGTGACTCTCCTAGCCAATAGTCCAGGTTTTGCCAAGGATTCACCCTCAAACCTAAGTCCAGACGGCTAAATCGCAACCAACACAAGATACTTAAATGTAGTAAGAGGTGTGCCCTAGTTTGCCCTTGGTAGGTGGCTCAATAGGGCCAAGGAAACCCAGCTTTTGAAAGCCTCTTACAAGAAGGTGGTTTCCCTCTACCTAGGTCAAATTGGCAAAGTAGTTGGAAATGGAAAACACAACATCCATGAAAATACCTCAATACTTGCATTCAAACACAACCATACACAAATCATTCAATTCATACAAACTTTTAGATGTTTCTAGCTAGGGTTCACAAACACCCAAGTGAAATAAAGAACTACTCCATGCTAGGTAGAAGGAATACACAAAGGAGAGAGAAGAAAAAACCATCTTGGGGATGAATGCTTTCTTCCTTTTGTGCGAAGATCAGCCTTGAAGATGAAAATTCCCAAAACCTTGAGCTTGGATGAAACCCTAGCCTCCTTCCTCTTCCTTGCTCGTCACTTTCTCTCTAGAAGTCTTGAAGGAGAAGAATTTCTCTCACTAGGCTCTCCCCCTTTTCTTCTTGAAGCTACCTAGGTGAAACCCGGATCGAAGGAATTTTATGGTCCCTGTTCACAGTCATGAACATTGGTTGGGGACCGTGATCTCGAGCAAAAGTGCACCATTTTACTTATGCACTTCACGGTCAAAGGAGGGTTTTCACGGTCTGGAGATCGTGATCTAGTCGAGGTCTAGTAAGGTGCGCAAAACACTCTAGAACCATGGCACTTCACGGTCTAGGAGGCTTTTTCATTGTTTAGACGGCCGTGAACTCTTGGCTTCCAGCGTGAACTACGACTGTCCTCTCCTTTTGACCCGTTTTTGCTCCTTTTTGTCCAACTTTCGTTCCCGGGGTTGATTTACCTGCTAGGATCTGAAACATAGCAAAACAAAGCACAACCTAGCGTAAAACCAAATCCCATAGGTTGAAATCGCCTCAAACATCTAAGGAAAAAGGGGGCAAAATGTGTGCATTTTTACCTGAATCAGCAATAAATACGGGTGCGCTAGGTCGGTTTGGATGGGTGGGTAGGTTTGTGGGTTGTTTTGTTCACCACTAATCTGGCAATGCACAAATGAGCCATAAAATCAACCATATATATAGAATGAGAAGAAAAGGGACTGGGGGTTTGCAAAGCTAACTTTTATTCCAAATGAAGCTAAACACAATCGGAGCAAAACTCAGAAGCAGGGAGCTACTTTACCCTGACAAAGACCCATAAATGAACAATCACTCTAGTTTCTAG